CTCTTGTCTTGGCGAAATGACCCGATCGTGTGTTGGTATGTAACAAGATCGGGTGGACTCTCGATCCGATGGTGGTCCTATGGGTGCTGAGACACGATCGTGTGAGTATAGATGACACGATCGTGTGTAACATTAAAGCTCGTTCTTTTCCGGGGTTTTTGTCCTTTCTTTTGCTCCTATTGCTTGTACCTGCAAATATATTCTAACCAAGCGAAAATCAAGGCTAAACACGCAATTAAACATCTCCGATGATGCAAAGCTAAATAGATATGTTAGATGAATGCGTGTCGAAATCGTGTATATTGCGTGTTATCCCTGGACCTACAGCAGGGTGACATGACCGTATGGGCGCATGAAGCAGAATTCATCCGTATGCTCAACTATACATCACACCTAGTACCCATGAGTATATGAAGATCCAAAAGTTCATTGGTGGCTAGCGACCATCGCTCCGCAGAAAGGTCGTACTTCACGAGTTTCGGACACTAGGCCACTGTATCGATCAACTGGAGAAAGCAGAAGAGGCGGAGAAGGAAGAGAAGGAGGAGAGGATCCGAGATCGGAGCCCTCCCAGACGCTGCACTCACACCCGACCTCCTGTGAAAATCGGACAATCTAGTAAGGGCAACCAGTCGCAACAAAAAGGGAAGGCACCATTTGTTCGTGCACCACCTCCACCACTTGCTCGAGGACCGCTGACCTGCTTCCGATGTCAACAGCCCGGACACTTTGCAGCCAATTGCACGACGAACATAGAGGCATTGCCAGCTACTAGACCACCACGACCACCACCGACGACCAGAGCAGCCGTGAGGGTGTATGCCCTTGCAGCTGAGACGGAGATACAAGAGGAGGAGACTGATCCCGAAGCAGAGGAAGTTGCTGCTATTACAGGTACCCTTCATCTTTGCGATGTAGAGTGCTATACTTTATTTGATACTGGTGCTATTCATAGTTTCTTGAGCTTGGAAAAAGCTAAGAAACTAGACATAGAACGAGCAGATCTAGGGAGCGACTTCACGGTTCGCACACCATCGGGAGAGATACTCCCGATACATGGGATATTACGAGGAGTATCGCTAGACATCTGTGGTCGTAACTTGGCCACGGATCTCATAGTGGTACATATTGGTGGCTACAGTATTATATTGGGTATGGATTGGTTGTCGAAGCACCAAGCTGAGATTGATTATCGGAGAAGGACCATACAATTCATGGATGCAAATGGTGGGTTTGAGTTTCGCGGAAGAGGAGCGCCATCAACGAACCCTATTATTTCGGGACTCAAGGCCAAAAAGATGATAAAAAAGGCAACAAAGCATTTTTGGTAGTCATCACCGCTACCAAAAATTCAGATCCAGAACAAAAATTGGAGGATACTCCAGTTGCTCGAGAATTTCTAGATATTTTCCCGGAGTAACAAGTCTCTCATGATTTGGACCTCTGTAGAGAAAGTTATTGATGTCGCAACATGAGTACATCATCCGGACTTCTCCTTTAACGCTCTAATTAGCTCTTTTTCGAGTCCAATCATCCGAAACCGGTAACTCTGCAAAACTAGAACACAACCAAGTTTTGTGTCCTAACACACCTAGAATGCCTATGAATGCATGTGATTATTCTATAAAACCTAGACAAACTCTCATCAAAATATAGAGAAGAATAGGAGTTATCAAATCCCCCCAGACATAAACCTTTGCTCGTCCTCGAGTAAAGAACGAAGGAATAAAATCTGCAAAACAGGGAATGACGAACATCAAATAGCATCATCATGAAACTCAAAAGCGAAACATCCATCCAATGCTAGTTTCCCGAGAATCGTACCCAAACCGGTTTACTATGATCTTTCTACCAAAGACTAATCTACCTAGCCATGGGATTTTTATTGTCACCTAGAACCCGTTAGAATCTCTACAACTCACCAAGCCTATTTCCGAACCTATCCTTATCTCAACTTAGCCTTTTCGTTCTTAGTTCTACTTCGTACCTGGATTTTTACCTTTCTGTAGAATTTCTCTATTGAACGCTAGCACCTCGGGTTTCTAGGACATTGAAGTTGAAGGACATCGTTTTTCTCTTCTCTTTTTTTTCTTCTTTTCTCTTTTTTTTTCTTCTGTATTTTTTTTCTTTTTATACGATGTCTGACCCACAACTTAGACCCGAACCATCGATCGATGCACTCATGTCCTCGAACGATTTTTGTTGACGAGATTCTGACAGTGGAGTGTCGAGATGCTTTATTTTCCCAAGGCATTTGTTGAACTAGATTTCATCGACCTGCAATATTCGGAAAAGGTTCTACAAGAAACATATAACCTGGATATAGTCGTTTCAACTTCGTAGGTTCTAAACAACAATCTCATCCCACAAACTATATATAGAAAGTCTGGAGAACTATCAATTCGACACGGTTCAACCACGTTCTACAAAGTCACTAGATCATCAAGATATTTCTACTGTATTATCCCACAAATCTTCCAAATGATGTTCAAAACGGGGTTTCAAGGTATGCACGTGAACCTATATGAACCTAAATCTATATGTCAAATGCAATCATGCAAACCTAACAAAAAAAACCCATCTATATGAAAATAATAAAAAAAACGTGTGAATGCAACTAATGCAAAATGATATGCAAAAGTGGAAAATTTTTCCTAAGTCTTTAGTTGGTGATAAGATGCACCTAAACTAAATGCAATCCTAAGTAGATAGGCCTGAATGTGTGAAGGATCTATCCACCCCCCAGACTTCAACCACATACCGTCCACGGTGTATACTCTCGTCCGGAAAAGTAGAATCGAAAACAACATATGAAAAGAACCAATAAGAGGGATAGAGAAGGCTTAGCTCTGCAAAATTCGTTCGCTCGCAGTGAAGTTAACTCACGTCAAACGCAAGAGCTCTCACACACTCTGTGAATTGGAACTTATCCAACGTTGTCTCTCGGAAGTCGATGCTCATCTCTCGTGTGCTAGTGTAAACGCTCATAGAACAACAAACGTTATCCGAACAAAAGCATAATAGCAATGCACTCCGAAAGATCAAAATACAATCATAGTCTCTACTACCTACGCTACGAAGAAAAAGAAAAAGAAAAGTTACCTAATGCTCGGGTTGCCTCCTGAGAAGCGCTTGTTTAACGTCATTAGCTCGACCTATCTTGCTCAAATGATGGGAGGGTCTGAGAGTGATGAATCTGGAGGTCGGGGTGGTGGTCTATGCGGGTGTCTCACATACTCTGATTTCTCCACATGTGTCATCCATGCTTGATCATCTGCAATGAAAGAGTAACACTACAAAAAAAATGCGAAATTCCAACGGATTTTTCCAACGGATTAATCCGTTGGAATATTTCTTAATCCGTTGGAATATTTCCAACGGATTTCCAACGGCACCCCGTTGGAATAATTCCAACGCATTTCTAACGGATTTTCAACGGACGTCTAACGGATTCATCCGTTAGAAATCCGTTGGAAATTTCCAACGGCATATCAACGGAATTTGAGTTGGAAAATTTCCACGTATATTCCAACGGATTCCCGTTGGAAATAACGTTCGACAAATTTCAACGGATATCCGTTGGAATATTTCGAACGTTAAATATTCCAACGTATATCCGTTGGAAAGTGTAACGGTAACGATCTTTGCAACGGATTTCCAACGGACATCCGTTGGAACGTTTCTCTATTTAGGCCATGTTCGCCCAAACCACTCTCTAAATCATTCTTATACTATTCTTTTACCAAAAATTCTCCTAAAAATGACATCTTCAACAAATCCGAATATACGAAAGAGTTGATTCGATTACAAAAGAGGTAACGCAAGAATTCATTAACGGTTTGGAACAGCTTATGAATTTTTCTTCTATGCAGCCGTTGTGTCAAGAACGTGAAAAAATGCTATGTCCATGTACAAGTCGCAATTTTAAATATCGCAGTCCAGAAGATGTTTGTAAACATCTATTTCGAAGGGGATTTGTCGAAGATTATTATATTTGGCGATTTCATGGAGAAGAAGTTCGGACAATCACAACGGGACAACATGTCTCGGCCGAGCAGAGGTATGATGTAGATGAAGATGTAAGAAATCCTTATGTTCAAATGGTGACAGATGCTTTTCCTGGGGCATTGGCTGAGCAAAACTCATCACAAGATCAGGAGGAGCCAAACGTCGAAACAAAACGGTTTTTCGACATGTTGGATATGGCAAATCATCCTATCTATGAAGGATGTAAAGAAGGTCAGTCACGTTTATCTCTTGCATCAAGATTGATGGGTATGAAAACGGATTACAATGTCACTGAAAGTTGCATGGATTCATTTTGTTAAACGTTGCGTGAATATTTACCTGAAAATAACGAAGCTCCAGAATCATATTATGATACGAAGGCTATGTTGAAGAATTTGGGAATGCCTTATGAAAAGATTGATGTTTGCAAAAATGGTTGCATGCTGTACTGGGGTGAAGAAAAAGAATTGGTTATGTGTAAATTCTGTGGGACTAACAGATATCGTCCGAGTAAGAATGTACGGAGACAAACTCCGTATAAAAAGATGTTCTATATGCCGGTATCGTACAAATTGAAGCGTTTGTATGAATCACAACAAACGGCTTCGCATATGAGATGGCATGCCTCGCATTCTACCGTTGATGGAGAAATTCAGCATCCATCAGATGCTTTGGCGTGGAAAAACTTCAACATGGTATTTCCTCAATTCGCTGCTGATCCTAGGAATGTGTATCTTTGTTTGTGTACTGATGGATTTAGTCCGTACGGACAGTCTGGCACGCAGTATTCATTATGGTCCGTTATACTTTCTCCGTACAACTTACCATCTGAGATGTGCATGAAAAGAGAATTTATGTTTTTGACATTGTTGATTCCTGGGCCAGAACATCCGAAGAAGAGTTTTGATGTGTATTTACAGCCGCTCATTAAGGAGTTGAAGGATTTGTGAGACATTGGAGTCTCTGTTTACGACGTAAGTGTGAAACAAAATTTTACACTGAGAGCGGTTTTTCTTTGGACGATCAGTGATTTTCCGGCGTATGGCATGCTATCGGGATGGAGCACACATGGAAGACTTGCATGTCCGTTTTGCATGGAGGAAACAGAAGCGTTTCAGCTGAGACATGGGAGAAAGTCGTGCTGGTTTGACTGTCATCGCAGATTTCTTCCAAGGAATCATCCATTCAGACAAAATCGTACGCTTTTTACCAAAGGTAAATTCGTTACTGAGGAATGTCCTGTTATGCAAACCGGAGAGCAAATTTATTCTGAGCGAATAAATAGTGGATATTTGGATGATTTGGAAGCTTCTGTGCATTGTGGAGGAAATTTTGGGCATAAGAAGTGCAAAGGATTTGGTGATTGGCATAACTGGTATAAGCGTAGTATTTTTTGGGATTTGCCTTACTGGAGTTCGCTAACGCTTCGACACAATCTGGATGTTATGCATATAGAGAAAAACTTTTTTGATAACATCATCAACACCATTCTGAATGTGCGAGGGAGAAGTAAAGATAACATCAACTCGAGGAAGGACTTGAAAGATATATGCAAGAGAAAAGAGTTGGAGTTGACACGTGATGGTCACGCACCTGTGCCGATATTCAGACTCACAAAACCAGGTAAAACGGTCTTGTTTAAATGGTTAAAAGAAGAGGTTAAATTCTCTGATGGATATGCATCCAAATTGGCGCGATGTGTTGATACTGATTCATTAAAGCTTATGGGAATGAAGAGTCATGATTGCCATGTATTCATGCAAAGACTTATTCCTATTGCATTTGCGGAGCTATTGAAACCCAGTGTCCACGGAGCGTTATGCGGTATCAGCACATTCTTTCGAGATATATGTACAAGATCTCTGAGAAGAAGTAATGTAGAGGTTTTGAAAGGCAACATTCCTGAGATACTTTGCGCATTGGAAAAGGTATTTCCACCTTCATTTTTTGATGTGATGGAACATTTACCTATTCATTTACTAGATGAGGTGATATACAGTGATCGAGTACAGTTTAGATGGATGTATCCATTTGAGCGATTTTTTTCCATCTGAAGAAGAAGGCAAAAAACAAAGCAGGAGTGGAAGGATCTATCGTCAAACAATATTTGTTAGAGGAGATCTCCTACTTCAGTTCTTTCTATTTTGAATCTCATATTCAGACGAAGACAAGGAGGGCTATCAACGAAGACGATAGAAGTTATCTCTACCACTATGATTCATGTTTCGGACTTATTCCCGAAAGCTTTCAGCCTACTGGACGCCTCGGAGGCAAATCTAAAGAATATTGGTTAACTGTACAAGAGTACAATCACATCGCCACATATATACTGTTGAATTGTGAAGAACTTAAGCCATACGAAAGGTACACATTTTTTAATCTTAGATGTGATTAGAAATTAATTAATTACATATTTGCTAACAACATATTTTTAAGACTTTTTGACGAGGATGTTTTGGCAACATATCCTAATCTATGTGGGGAGGAACTTGAAGGAATGAAGGAACAACATTATGCATCTTGGCTTCGAGACTACGTAAGTATTCTAGCTATATATATATGTACGTGTATGTATTTGTGTATAATTACTCATAATATTTATTTTAATTTTTATGCGCAAATTCAGTCATGCAGTGATAGAATTTCGGCATGGATCAGAGATATATCACATGGACCTGGAAGAAAAGTCATTTGCTGGCCGATAATGTTCACCCGAGGATACACGTTTCACACTTACGATCATGGGAAACATAAATCCACGTTCAATTACGGAGTTTGTATAAAAAGCGGGTCATCGGAAGATCCTGATTTCTTTGGGGTTCTTCGTCAGATTTTCCAACTCCAGTATCCAGGATTAGTGGGGTTGAAAACAATCATATTCATATGTGATTGGTTTGATACAACGTTGGGACGCGGCTCACGGAAAAATCGATGGGGATGTATTGACATAAACCTGAAACGTTCATATGCAAAGTACGATCCTTTTATACTTTCAGATCAGGCAGACAAGGTATGCTTCATTCCATATCCGAAACATTCTGTGATATCGGTGAAACGGCGACGGGAAGATCAATGGTCGGCTGTTTTGAAGATTATCCCATGAAGATTAATCGTGGATTCGTCGTCGACAACACAAGATCTCGATGAGCCAATGCAAGAGTAACTCGAAGATCCGGTTCTTCCCATCCGACTAGATGATGATTACGACGAGACACTTGCACTTCCTGACATAGACGACGAGTTACTTGATGATTCGTTACACGTACAAGACGATATAGACGAATTCGTTTCGGACCATGATACAACTCCGGATGATGAAAGTGATGAAGATTCTATGTAGAATTATTTGTTTTTATTGTTTTCATATGTATTTGTATTTTGAAAAATCTATCATATTTATTTGTATTTTTTAGATTTTTAAATTTTTTTTTTAAAAAAATGTTAAATTCCAACGGGCGTCCGTTGGAATCGAAGCGCACCAATCGAATCGACACCAGAATTACAACGGATATCCGTTGGCAATTTCCAACGGAAACCCGTTGTAATAGTTGAAACATTGAATCCGTTCTGATAAATTCCAACGGATGCCCGTTACAATCTTCATTTTCAACGGGCATCCGTTGGAAATTCTGAAACATTAAATCCGTTCGACGCACCTGACATCCATCGCGTCATTCCAGAATATTTCCAACGGATGCCCGTTGAAAATGAAGCTTCTAACGGGCATCCGTTGGAATTTATCAGACAACATTAAATGCGCCCAGAGATTTTCAACGGATACCCGTTGGAAATCCGTTGGAATTTTCGATTATATAAGGGCGAGCGGCCCCATTCTTCCCCATCATTCATTCTCTCCCACATCTCAAAAAACAAATCCGAGCAAAAAAAAAATCTCGACCAAAAAAAAAACACAAAATGGTAATTGGTTTTCAATTCTTTTTCAATTCTTTAATATTTATGTTTTGTATTAATAACTAACTATTGTTTTTTTACAGTTTCGTAGGCGATTTTCTGGTTCCGGAGGATTGTTAGCGGGTTCTTCTGGAGCACCGCCACCGCCACCTTCTCGTCTTCCGAAACCGGTAGACGCTCCTCCACTTTTCCCAGAGATTGATATAACTCTGGAGGAGGTAGAGGAAATTTTAAATTCCTTCGACACTCGCGAGGTCCCGCTAATCGATCCCGAACTTGACGGGGCGTTATGGTAATTTATAAATTAAATTATTTTAATACTTATTTTAAATTATATTATTAGTTAATATTAATAAATTGTTATTATAATTAGGTTCGGGGTTAACGATAAAGATTTGAGGAAAAAATTTACAGCAATAATAACGTCAAATTTTCCTCAACTGTACTACTGTTGGACGGTGGTACCGGACAACATCAAACGTTCTTGGTAGCATTCGTTCATCGTAAGTTTTATTTTTAAAATTTTATTTAAATAAAATAATTAATCACTAACTCTAATTTTTTTTTAAAGCAATCTTTTCAGTGGAAAAAAAAGTACACCGATAAAGTTTACAAAGAGTTCAACCAGCTGGGTATGCAGCGGTTGAAACAAATGATGAACAATGCCAAACGCCGTCATCAGCTGGATGGACTGCCACCGGAGTGGGCAACAAATGATTTGTACCAGCAGCTTCTTACGCATTGGAACTTAGACCATTTCAAGAACAAGAGTTCCAAGGCGAAACAAAGTCGTCTGTCCCAAAAAATCGAGGGTGATGGGCCTTATCGTCATACCTCCGGTGCTAAATCATTCAAGAAGAGGCAAAAAGAGATGGTATTTATTTAAACTTTAATTTAATTTTTAATTTGTTTTTTAATTGTAGAGTTTTTATTCGGTTAATAATATATATATATAGGAGAAAGAAATGGGAAGAACGCCATCAATCGTAGAGTTGGTCGCTCGGACACACAAAAAACCCGATGGGACATATGTCGATCCCCGTGCAGAACGAGTTGTAAGCACGGTAACTCAACGACTTACCCAACTCTCGCAAAATATTGGCGATTCAGCGGGTTCTTCATCCGGTCTCTCTGCATCGGAGCAAGATCGTTGCTATGTGGAGGTAAAACTTATAATAATTCATTTTTAAATATTATATTTTAATACTTTATTTCAATTTTAAATATTTTCTTCATTTTTCAGTCGGTCTCTCCAAATAAGGGCGCATCTATGGATTAGGAAGATTGCAGCGAGATTTGTTCGATGATTTCGGTGCAGCAATTCCTCCTGGCATGCAGAACGATCTCGAACAACAACGGCGGATCGAAACACTCGAGCAACAGCTTGCGGCGATGAGGCAACAAGTGACTAACCTCGAACAAATCATTGAGCTTATGCGGGGTGATCGGCCACTCCACAATACGCTGCCAAGCTCGGGAGCAGAAACGACGGCCCGTAATCTCGGGACTAGCGAAGACGAAGAAACCCGTAGTGCCAATTAATTATTATTGTTGATTATTTATTTTTTGTGTTTTCCAACGGGTTTTCCAACGGTTATCCGTTGGAATGACTTTCCAATTCCAACAGGTTGCCGTTGTAAATACCGTTGTAACATTTCGACGGCGTTTCCAACGGATATTCCAACGGATTTCCGTGGCAAATACCGTTGTAAATCCGTTGGAATATTTCTAACGGATATTCTAACGGTCCCGTCGGAAAGTAGCCACGGATGTCCGTTGGAATTTCCGTTGATATATTCCGACGAACAAATCTGTTGGAATGCCGTTGAAAATATACCACGGAAGAACCGTTGGAAATCCGTTGAAATATTCCAACGGATGAAGGCGTTGGAATTCCGTTTGGAATTTGCCACGGAATTCCAACGGAACCGCGTTTCTAACGACTGTTTTCCAACGGATATATCCATTGGAAATCCGTTGGAAAAGTCGAATTCCAACGGATTTTTGGCCATTTCCAACGGATTTGCCGGTTGGAATTTGAGGTTTTTTTTGTAGTGTAAAAAACAAGTATGAGATTATTAAAACGACGCTTACTTGTTTCTACTTGCCTGAAGATGACATCTTCTACCCGCTTTCTATCGTCAGAGAAATTGACATGGTCCAAGTTGCATGTGATACGGTCTGAGTCAAGTTTCTGAAAGAAGTCACTCGTGCTTGTTGTGGCCCGATCAATCTCAAGTGTATGGGAGATAGACTCATGTTCCGTTTCTCCTTCATTTAGCAATCGAGTAATCTCCTAAATCGTCTCCCAATTATTATAGATGTTCTCGTCATCTGTAATCATAGTAAGGGGGAGAGCAAACTAGTGTAGATGGTTAGAAAACAAAAACTATACATAGGACTCAACTCAAATATATACACAAAAAGACTCAAAAAAGACACGACTCAATATATACACAAGCAAGATCTAGAATCGATAAAGACCTAGAAATAGGCTAACCAGTCCCCGGCGACGGCGCCAAAAAACTTGATACGTGTGTACCGAGTCTAAAATCTATAACCCGATTTACAACTCACCGCAAGGATACGGATCGTCGTAACACGGGGTCGAACACAAGGACCGGTTGCTAAATCTAAATCCTAATCGAAACTAAATCAAAACAAGTAGAAGTGGAAGTGATGATGGAAATATGTGGAAAAAAGGGAAAATAAAATAAGAAAGCATTGAAAATGAGTAACCTATCAAACAAAGATGACTACGGGTGTCGGGATCGTATTCGAGTGTATGGGTATATGCTAAGCATGCGAGAATAACGATTATGACTTGTATTCGGGAATCATCAAGCAACGATAATAGAGAATTCACCTCTCGGTCTACTAACTCACTATCTACAGAGTAACTCGTCAATCTCTCGATCTATTCAAGTTAACTCTAGATGCATGAAGAATGCTATCATCAACCCTAGATCGATTAAACCATATCTTTATGTGAATAATACGATCTATCCTATTGATTTTGATCTGAAACGAACTTATATCTCTATGTAGTTTAGAATCTAAGATAATTGACCAAGGGGCTAGCAAACATCAATCCAATAAAAGTGCAAATCAATAGAACCGAATCAAATCAAAACCGAAATCCAAGTTAGGGTTCAAACATACCCAAAACACATACGAATCCCTAACCCATAGCCGTGGATCTACTCACGGTTCATAGAAAACAATAGAAAGAACAGAGAAAAAGAGATAAAAGAAAGGTGAGAAAAGCTCATGTAGATGTGTAGTCTTCACGATCAAATCTTCCTTCTTCTTCCCAAATCCCGTGAACTTCTATTCTTCTCTTCACCAAAAGCTCTCCAAAAGTCTGTATCTAAGTGTTCTC